TGCCATTGATTAGACTAAGTAGTAGATGATGCCATTGATTAGACTAGTGTGGTGATGCCATTGATTAGACTAGTGTGGTGATGCCATTGATTAGACTAGTGTGGTGATGCCATTGACTAGACAAGTGTGGTGATGCCATTGATTAGACTAGTGTGGTGATGCCATTGATTAGACTAGTGTGGTGATGCCATTGACTAGACAAGTGTGGTGATGCCATTGATTAGACTAGTGTGGTGATGCCATTGATTAGACGAGTGTGGTGATGCCATTGATTAGACAAGTGTGGTGATGCCTTTGATTAGACTAGTGTGGTGATGTCATTGATTAGACTAGTGTGGTGATGCCATTGAATAGACTAGTGTGGTCATGCCATTGCATTGCTCCTACAGTCACCCATGGGTGGGTGTGTGCACTTACCCATTTGCTGGTGGTCGTCGTCGTTGGGCTGTGCTGCTTTGCCTGCGGGTGGTTCCATGCGTAGCATGTCCATGAAGTTGAGTCCATTGAGGATTGCGCTGTCGGTGTCTGTGTCGCGTGAGCTGCGGCTTCTGCTGAAGACAAAGGGCCTGCGCCTGGTCTTAGCCTCGTCACTATTGCGGCCATTCGAAACAGCGGCTTTCAGGGCATCGCGGGTGCCTTTGATTGTTGGGTCGGTGGTCGTGGCATTGAGATCCAGGTCAAACGGTTGCACGGGACGGAAGTTGTTAGTGGGTTCCAGGCCGAGTATATGGTCCAAGCTCACTTGGGAGTCAGCCGAACTCTGTCTGTTGGAGATACGAAGTGATTGGGTTAATTAATACCATTCACTCACAATCGTGACGGTGGCAAGGACGCACATACTCTTCGCTGACAAGGCACGCAGCTGTAGTCAGTCGCGCACAGATATATTTCTAATGTGACAATGCCCATAAAGAAAAAATAAGAAGACACAACACTCGAGAAAGTCAAGGGACACTCCACACAAACACAACACACACATACAGCACTTGCCATCCCATTCATGTATTTCAATGGGCATTATGTAGGGTATTATCAAGTAGGGTATTATCAAGTAGCTATTATCAAGTAGGCTATTATCAATTAGGCTATTATCAAATAGGTTAAGATCAAGTAGGCTATTATCAAGTAGGCTGTCGATTTGCATGTATCCCGATTACTGATGATACACTGGATGTATTGTGGGTGTGGGGGTATCACGTGTGTGTACATGATATTAACACGTGTGCACATGATGCTAATACGTGTGTACATGATGATGCCAGAACGTGTGTACATGATACTAACACGTGTGTACATGATACTAACACGTGTGTGCATGATGCTAATACGTGTGTGCATGATGCTAATACATGTGTGCATGATACTAATACGTGTATACATGATACTAACACGTGTATACATGATACTAACACGTGTGTACATGATACTAACCCGGTTGTACATGATGCCAATACGTATGTACATGATGCTAATACGTGTGTGGATATGAGTGCTTGGGGAAAGTGGTCGCTGGTATCATCCCAGGCGTTTAGGGTTTTAAGGTTTTAGTGCCCACATGACTAGCACACACCTGCTTATCCCGTCTCTGCTTTTTTCGTTGGCTGAGTGTATAGGGCCGTCGTAAGAGCCCATCCCCCGCCCAGCCACGCCATCGCCCAACTGCGTCGTATCACTTGAGTCGCTCAATGTCACCGCTGCACTCTGAGCGGCACAGTCCAGCTGCTCACTCATAACTCCGTGTGCGTCTTCAGATGACTGTGTGTTGTCAGGTGACTGTGTGTTGTCGGGTGACTGTGTGTTGTCAGGTGACTGTGTGTTCATGGCGTGTGTCAGGTGGTCTGTCGCTGCTGAGTGGTCATTGGGGGTGGTTCCTGTGCCCCTGATACCCTCCTCTGTGCCTGTTGGGGTGCACCTGCTGTCTCCTTCTGTGCTTGTGAGTGAGCTGTTGCCCGTGAGAGGGTGTGCTGAGGCCGAGTGCTCTGTTGCTGTGTCAGGTGGCAATGTTGGGGCTGTTGGTGGTGGTGGTGTGGTGGATGGGTGTGCCATGTGTGTATAGGGTAATGTAGTGTCGGGTGTGTATGAGGTGTGTGCATTGTCTGATGTGTTGGTAGTGGGTGCCCTGTGGGCTTGAGACACCAACTCCTTCGGACCACTCTGCTCAGTGGCCGTTCTCTCGTCTGTGCTATTAGCTCTGCCCTGAGACGTGCACTTGCTCGCCTGTGTGTTGCCATTGCTGGCTGCTGCGTTGCCTGTGCTTGTGCCTGTGCTTGTGTCGGTGTGGTATGTGTGTGTGTGTGCCCTTTCGACGTTGCTGGCGGTGGTGGCCCTAGTCGAGTGGTGCGTGTGTGCGTGTGTGAGCGATGGGGTGCGCTTGTGGTCTCGCGTGCGTATGGTGCTGTGTCCGTTGGCCCTACTGCCGTGTGAGCTGTTTTTAACGGATTGCCCTTGAGATACTTTGCGTTGGGATTTTCTGTTGTGTGACTTTCTACCCTCTGGACTAATGGATTCCCCGTCTGCCGACTTTATTTTTTTGGGATCCGAATCCGGGGCCAAATCCGTTTTGGACTTTGGACCCGATTTTACAGTGGGATATTCTGTGCTGGACGTCGACGGTTTGGAGTCGACGGACAGCAAATCGGATCCAATGTGTGCCACACAAACCATTTCATGGACTACCAATTAAATCATTGAAAGCCAATTTAGTGACAACCCTCAGAGTGACGCGCAGAAGTAATTTCGAACAATTGCGCCACAAATACACTCAGCCCACTGCAGCCCCACGGGACTAATCACCAGCCGAGTGTTAAAGAGAGGGGTACCATTTAAACCGATCATCTCCATTTCTAAATGCGCTTTGCCAAAACATGAATAGAAAACTCGGCGTTCTGCCTCTCAAGGGTCGCGCCAGTGGAAACTACTATCCAATACACTAATTCTAAAATGGATTGATTCCAAAATGCACTAATTCTAAAATATACTTAATTCCAAAATACAGTAATTACAAAATACGCTAATTCTAATACAGTAATTCCAAAATTGCTTCTCTACTGCAGCTGATGTCCATTTGCCCGCGAATCGCCTTTTATAGCGCATTGTGTTTAAGATGATTTGCAAAACTTAAACCGAACACTCACTCCTACACACATTCACCACCGGTTTTAGGGTTTAGGTACTTATAAGCCTCTCTAGCACCCATCTGATTTACCAACATACTTGATTCCGTGAGCATAACAGACTCGTCGCAGCTGGAGTTTTCGTTGGGGTCGTCTCTGTACCGGCCCTTGGCGTCCTTGGGTTTGTCCTTGGGTTTTTCCCTGAGTTTACTTGCTCGCCCACTCCCGCTTTGTTTCGACGGTGTGGTTGACGCAGTGGACCCATTGGTCGATGTGCGGCTGACATGAGGCCCTGTGGAGTGGACATGCGGTGAGACACATCATCATCATCATCAGCAAACCCTCAAATCCTAAAACCTTAAATCCAACAACAATAACATCATCATCAAGCGATAAACACTAAAACCTTAAAACCAACAACAACACCACGCGCACAAACAGGTGTATTATAAGCTGTGTACCTTAACTAAGACACGTATGTGTGGGAGTACATCGCAGTCTATTGGGATGTAATCTGGGCATTTGAGTTGACGGCCATAACAAATAATGAATCATACGACATCACTATAATTTGGCAACTAGGAGACCACAATCATAGATGCGGTATTTTTACACTGGCACGTGGCGATGTCACGTGAAATGGTAAAGAAGGGTAAAGTAGCTTAAATCCAAAACAGCAGGTGCATGGGAAGGCCCCTCATACTATGATAGACAACACGTGCCAAGACAAGGAGCTCTACGACACAGTATGTCAAACCGGCACTTTAATACTTCACAACTGACCAACCACTCTATGATCCATAAACAAAGCGATCCCGCTATGATCCAAAAACAGAGCGGTCTCTCTATGATCCAAAAACAAAGCGATCAACCTATGATCCAAAACAAAGCGATCAATCTGTGGTCCAAAAACGAAGCAATTGCTATGATCCAAAAACAAAACGATTCCTCTATGATCCAAAAACAATGCGATCAATCTGTGATCCAAAAACGAAGCAATCCCTCTATGATCCAAATACAAACCGATCAATCTGTGATCCAAAAACGAAGCAATCGCTCTAGGATCCAAAAACAGAGCGATCACTATGATCCAAAAACAAAGCGATCAATCTGTGATCCAAAAACGAAGCAATCGCTATGATCCAAAAATAAAGCGGTCAATCTATGATCCAAAAACGAAGCAATCGCTATGATCCGAAAACAAAGCGGTCACTATGATCCAAAAACAAAGCGATCACTCTATGATCCAAAAACGAAGCCAAAACAAAGCGATCACTCTATGATCCAAAACAAAGACGATCAATCTGTGATCCATAAACGAAGCAATCGCTATGATCCAAAAACAAAGCGGTCACTCTATGATCAAAAAACGAAGCCAAAAACAAAGCGGTCACCATCGTCTTACACACCTGTATGGCGCCTAGCCAATGACGGCAGTTTACTAAACAGATTAAGCGAAGTGGTGGCCTTCGTCGATTCTGAAATAGATTGGCACGACTGATCAGTCTATCGCATGTGTGCATACTTTCACAGCGAACTCAATATTTTCAAACACTCACTCCCAAACGTGTGAACAAGATTGCATATATATATATATATATATATATATAGATATCGATATATGTATGTATGTATGTATTTATGTATGTATGTATGTGTGTATGTATGAATGAATGAGGGTATGAACGTATACATACATACATACATACATATATACATATATACATACACACACACACATTCACTCATACATACACACACACACACATACATACATATATACATACATAAATACATACATACATATATACATACGTACATAGATAGATAGATAGATAGCTACATACATACATACATACATACATACGTACATACATACATACATATATATATATATACTTGTATCAATCCGTAATTTTCCCTTTTATACCTGCAAAATACTGCAAATCCTCAGATACACAAAAATAGACAGCACGTATCACTCAACTTTCGTACTTTTGTCGGGATACAGAATATGCAGTAAACGACACCCGTCACCAAGCGAACGCAGACACCCGTCACAGTGTTTTCTGATAAGAACGCAGTGCGGCACAATGCTGTAGGGATTACCTGGGCGTTTGTCTGGCGTTTCGTCGCGCTTGTTGGTTGTCATGGTAACCTTCATGTCTTGCAGAAACTTGGTAATGCTTACAACTGATTCTGCCTGTGAGTGTAATGCCCAATGGCCAGTCAGTTGACAGTGATCAATGCGATGGATCAGTGGCTGCTCCCTCTCTCCCCAAGAGCTGTTTTTACTACTATTTCTCTCTTTATGTAACTTAAAATACTATATTTAAAATTTAAAGCCGACACACTCGCGTGGATCGTGTGTGATAACTTTCCACCATGTCGTACGTTTGCGCAAAAAACATATACCGCTTACAGCTCAACACTGCATCATAAATCGCAAGGTATTCAAACCACTAAACATCATGCAATACCATACAACACCATACATACAGACATCCATGTGAGCACACGCATGAAAGTACTAATACGATGCACATCATGTACGCCTGCACGAACAGGGCATGGTAAAAATAGCACTGACTACACATATGTGCACTAATGTGTGACAGATGCCTTGTATCACTGACTATCAATGCATATATATATATATATATATATATATAATAATATGTTCTTTGTATAGTATAT